GAATCTACCCTGCTCTAGTTGAAGACCGCTGCCCCTTGTCGTTTCACTACAAGCCTTTGCCAGAAGCCCCTCCCCAGCTTTCCTGTAGCCCCTTCAGGCACTGGAAGGTGCTAGGAAGTCTCCCTGAAGCCTTCTCCTCTCCAGACTGAACAGCCCCAACTCTCTCAGCCTGTCTTCGTAGCAGAGCTGCTCCAGCCCTCAGATCATTTTTGTGGCCCTTCGCTAGCCTCATTCCAGCAGCTGCATGTCCCTCTTGTGTTGAGGGCTCCAGAGCTGGACACAAAGATAAGTGGATGGACACATCATAAAGATGATTCCAATGGAGACAAGAAATGGGAAGCAAAGGTAGACAGGGCAGTCAACTTTGAGTGTGCCTTCAAACAGGAGCTACTGGTGGTTGGGAGGCAGCCTCAGGGTCAGACTGAAGCACACCAGTTTGGGTATCTGCAGCCTCCCACTTGTTACTGCACATTCACCTCCAGCGCCTCGTTCCAAATGCCTGCGCCCGCAGACGTTTGTGCAGAGGATCTCTTGCCCTGCCACATGCAGGTGTATTCCCACTCTACTACTTTGCATTTAATTCCCTTTTATCAGGCTCACTCATAAGCGATAGAAAAACTTCACTATCCATCCCAAGATGCCCACAGGTACAAACAACTTGTATCCTAAAACAACAACGCTGTTGACTTCAGTTGATGTTCATTACATAAAATTACTAATGTTAACTTGCTAAAGGGGGAAAATGCATAAACCCGAATTTATAATTTCTCTACCTCCTTCAGCTCCCCTTTGAAGTTCTCAAACTGCTTGACAGCACTTTTTTTTTTCTGCCTTGCTGCCTCTGCTGGGCTTTGCTGGGCCTGTGAGGGAGCAGTCATACCTGGTGTGCAACCATCCTTCAGTACCTCTCAACCAGACTTTGTGGTTTATTTGGTTCTGTGCTGTCTCAGAATAACTTTCTGCTTCTCCAGCTGAGGGTGGATACTGTTGCATTGTCTCTTGCTTCATGATGAGTCACCAAAAATTAATTGTCTATACGTGATGCAATGTCTTGCCATCATGAGCACATACTTCCCCCATTCCCTTCTCCAATGGAAAGCAGAAAATGCTTCTTTTACAACCCTTTCAAAATAATTTGAATCTGCTTAGGCTGAACAGTGCTCTAAATTTGGATAAAAATAATGTTATTTTCAGATGATGTTTTCATTATAAAAACAAAATTGTATTTCTTCTGGTTCCTCCAGGTTATGGGACAAAATTCTAATAATATAAACTTTGTGCTAACCATGGACTTTATTTGTATTGACATATGTCCCATTTTCTTGAAGCAATGTAAAATCATGTAATGTTTTATTCCAGCCAGACAGGCTGGAATTTCACCTGGGATGTAAAATCACCTGACCTGTCTTGATTTACACATGCATTAATTGCACAGCCATTAGGAATTCAGGATGTATTCTTTGATCTGCATTTTATTGTGCATTTATTCCTACGTGGAGTCACTCCAGACATATAATCAATACTTTTTCTAAAAAATAAAATTGTTTTCTGCTTAAAAGGATTGTGAAGACCATTACTGTTCCATTAATAAATCTGAAACTTCTGTTGTGTCCTCATGAGATGAAGTTAACTTAAAAAAACCAAAACCCTGAAACAACTTGGAGATTAAACTGCTAGTATTGCCTGGTACAGTAGTCGTGTTATAAAACTTGAAATAATAGAAGATACAGAAAGAGACCTAGTGTTTATTTTCCTGAATTCGAATAAGCACACAAAACCTGAAGGCATACAAAAATGAAAGTAAAAAATACAATGAGAAGGAGACCTCAGAAGGATGTGTCCAGCTCAAATAAATAGCTGTCAAAGTTAGCAGATGGAGCTGGACACCCTCTGATGAAGCCCAGCCCCAGCAGTGAACCTTCGGGTTTAACTCCCAGCTTTGCCTTCCAGCTGTTGGAGAAGCAGCAGCTCAGACCCCCTCCCCTGACACACCTTGAAGCTACACTTCACTGATGTGTCTTGGCTACCCCCAGAGCCCTGGTGGGTCTGCCCTGAAGGTGCTGCTGCCCCAGATGGGCACATCCACAGCCACCAGTGCCTGCCATCACCGCAGGGACACCGAGCAGTGTGTCTCTGCCACACCCCGGGGTGTTCAAAACCAGTAAACCCCAATGTTGGACCATCTAAACTCAGCAGCACCAGATTTCCTTCCAATGTCAGAGAGAGATGGCCTGGTGTTCATTTCCCTCCTCCTCACCCTTCCCAATCCTAATAGTGAGACCATCTAATTCCGTGAGAATGCAAAGCATCTGAACACAGGACAGTTCTCTGACCATGAGCTTGCCTCTGCTCTGCAGCCAGGAGACCCTTTGAATTTTCAATCACCAGAAGAGCATTTCTCAGTACAAAACAGTAAGAAAAGTCCTGGCAAAGCTGCCAACAAAAGGTGTCTTCTAAGGAGCAATGTGTGTGTGGAGGATGAGATCTGCCTCATCTTGCTATGGCTGCTGACAAAGTACTCTGCAGACACCTTGTTTTTTCCTTCTCCAAAGGAAGTATGAAAGCCCAGATCAACATAGGTGCCAAAGTTTCTGAAGCTGTAGTCAGATGTGATGTCCCATGAAAGGGCAAAAAAGGGAAGAAGCAACATGGGCTGCAAGACCTCATGGCAAGTAACAGAAGAAACTTCACATGGCTTGTCTAGGCAGGACAGCATTCCCACGTAGGTTGTGCAGCATCTCTCCCTTACTGAATCCTCCCTGTAGGTAAGAAAGAAGCTACTACTTACAGGTCTACTTGGCAAGCACCTTTTTTCCAGAATCTAGTTCACAATAAACCAAAATCTTGCTATCTGCTATGGTGCTCATCAGTTCCCCTCCCCAGAGGCTGCAGGCAGCAGGCCATTGGCTCTGCAGCTGCCTCTCATATCCCTCTTTATTTCCAGAGCTCTCAGGAGGTGAAAGCACAGAGCTGGCCTCAGGGACATGTCCTCTGGAAGTGGCTCTCCTCCCTGTTTCCATTCCTTTTCATTTTCCTCCTGCAGCCTTCAGCTGGGAGTTGATTTGCAGACAAATGTGTTGTGCTGGAACAATCTCCTCTTCACATCTTGTGGTCCTGTTGCCCTGGATTGACAGGGTTTGTGCTCACTAATGGTACATTGCTCTGTTTTGCAGGGTCTGCAGCAGGTAGCACTCTGCCATTATCACCTTAGACTAGTTCCTAGCTAATCTAAGGCAGATGCATTAAACAACTTGTTTTCCCCCCAAATCCACCTCTTTTACTTAACAGGGCTATCTCTGAAGACTGTGCATCTTTTGAAAGAGTAAATATGGTAAGGAAAGGAAATCGGTTTAAGGAAATCTGCAAAAACTTCATACATCTCTGTTATTAATCAAATATGAACTGAGGGACCAAGCAGGTCACAGCAGTATGTACTGCAAACCTTAATTCTGATCAGACGATGCTGTAAATGGGAGAGGGAGAGCACTTACAAACAGGCAAGGTCTGGGAACAACTGCACGAGGCTGTGGCAAGCAATCTGTAGGTGTTCCCAACACTCTTCTGCCACTGAGCAAGTTTCACATGGAAGATCTGATTATAAAAGTGTAACTAACCCCCAAAACATTATGAGGGTTGCCAGGTATCCAAAAAACTTGTAATAAAATAGAAACGACTAAAGGATCATGACACTGTAGGCCTGTCAGCTGAGTATCTTTTTTTCTATATATCTGTCTCTGTATAGAGAACTAATGCATGTGACCAACTCAGCAGTGGCCAGACTCAGTATTTCCACCTGAAGAAAGCAGGAGGTTTCATGCCATGCCTTTTATTTTGGCAAAAGCAAGGAACCTTGAGTTATTTACATCATTCAGCACAGTCTTGGGATGTGCATCACCTCAGAAAGTGGCTTTGTTCACCAGAGAGTGCAAGGTACACTTGGGGGAACTGCTGGAATTGCATTTAATGTGGACTTAGACATAGGTGCTTTGGTTATAGCACAGAAGTTATCTGGACTCTGGATGTTTGCATGTCTTGTGTATTTGTATCTTTGCATGTCATTAAAGTTATCATTAACCTGCTTTCTAAATCCAGCTCAAAATGCAGCATGTCCATTTTGCAGCTTTACACTGACTGGTTTTATCTGAATAATTTAAAAAAACCCCACATGTATATGAAACTCAAGCTGCCCAGAGAGATGATTAATATTACAACAAAACCCATCCTGGCATCAGTCAGTGATTGTTTCAGAAGGATCTTGGAGCACCTGCTGGCAATGAAAAGTCTTTTTTCATCCTCTCGAAAACTCATTCCTCACCATTAACCCTATCATGTCTTCTTCAGACAAGGGCCCAGTAAGTCTGGGCTATTCCAAGAAGAAGGAAAGCATTTCTGTACACCAGAGGCTGCCCTGTCAGCAGTGAGACTCCCACCTGAACAGGGCTGTCACTCTGGGGACAGCCAGTCGCTGCACAAGGGCACAGCAGAGCAGCCCATGAAAACAACCCATACCAATTACCAGAGCTGTTAAAAGCTTTATGCTGTCCAAATTCTGGCTGCTTGGAACAGAGAGGGCAGTGAGTAGGAGCCCTGGGTGACACCAGCGCGGCAGACGAGCAGAAATGGGTGGCCCTGTTTCTTGAGCCCCAGGGGAGACCTGCTGAGTGAAGCTCTGCTCTTCAGTTGGCAGCAGCACAGGAAAGCAAAACTCAGGGCAACGCAGTGAAGGTGAACCTTGATTTTCAAAATGTTGAGTTAGTTCTCAGCCAACATACAGATGGGGCAGCTTCTGCAGTGGGGCTGTGCAAAGGCCCATCCCATCTGCTGGGCTCAGAGCACATTTTCGATTGGTGGGCTTAGGTTTGTGCTAACTGGAAAAATCTACTGATTTTATCCTGTTACTGTGTCTTCCCTTAGGCAGCTGCACTAGAACAGATTACAGATCAAAGTGTCCTTTAATGTATTAGATCTTATTTTGCTCTGCGTGATGTGTTTGAGGGATCATGGCTCCAGATGGTGCCACGCTTGGTGTGTGTTTGCAGCCAGACAGGTGTGTGGGTGTAGCAGTGCCTGCTCTTACTTGCACCACTCCAAAGAATGAAAAGTGATAATTCAGCAGAGAGGCAGAGCTGGATTCCCACCCTCCCTGAGGGAGACAGTGAGGTGGCTGTCAGTCCAGTGGGCATCACCTGTGAGCATCTTAGAAGGTGGGAAAACTGGAATGTATGACAGGAACCAGCCTGGGACTGCAGTACCCGCGATGCACAGAGGCAGAAAGCCACACTCCCTGCTGGCCAAAGTGCAATGGCTTGGGTCCCAGGGCAATGCCACCATCTAATAAGCCTAACACAAGTCACTGGTCACAGGCAGCACTGCTGCCTTGCAAGGCTGTGTGCCTCCTCTGGAGGAATGGACACCACCTTCTTCCACACCCACGGAAACAGCAGGCTGAGAACGTGCTCTGTGCTGTTTTGGCCCCAGGTAAGCTTGGCTACCAGACTGCCAGGGCAAATGGATTCAGTACCTGCTGGCAGGAGACTTTGAATGCATGAGGAAGAGAGGCTGGCAGGGCACAGCCTGTGAGTCGAGCGTGTGGGAGAGGTAGGAGGGTACAGAACTTGTGTTTCATCCGTGTTCTTTATTTGCTGGTGTTAAGCTCTGGCTACCAATATGTGACATTTTGACCTGCACCTCCTAGGTCATTTGCCTCTGACAGTCAAGCAGTGGCAGCAGCTGGGTTGTGGATGCCCAGGACCCTTCTCTGCCCTCACAGAGGCTTAGATCCCATCTGTAACCGGATCCCTCTTATCTGTAACACAGCAAGCAATTCTCTTGTAGTAGCAAAAGCTGAGACCAGCTACCAAGCTGTGACAGTCCAGATTTCCTAGGCTGTCTGCCACTTGCCATAAATCTTCAGCCTGAGATTTGCATGTGCTATAGTAGGAAAAAAAGCACTTTTCTGCTTTGTCTCTCCTCTGCCCTGTCATAAGAATCCAACAAAACCTCATGCAGCGAATGATCAGCTGTGGCATGAAGTGGCTGCTGCTCTCACTTTCCAATCTGACTTCATTACCTGTGCAGCATCTGTAGTGTGGAGTGGCCCAGGAGCTGTGAAGAGCCAGCACCTCCCGAGGGCTGAGGGCAAAGGAGCTCAGCAGGTTTTGGAGGGAGCAACCAGGTCCCTGGGATTGCTCTGAGCCCATGAACTCCTGAGAGCAGCGTGTCAGCACAGCACCAAACACCAGCCACGCATCAAACGCTGCGCTCTAGCCTGTGGTTACTGAGCACCAGAAAACAACAAGTTAAGAGCCGGGAATAAAAATGAAACGCTGCAAGGAGCTGCTGCAGGAAGGTGCCAGAGCACAGCATCTTCCCTGGCGAGTGCAGGCAGCAGGCAGAGGCTGGTGCTTTCAGTGATGCTGCCCAGCAGAGCTGAAAGCAAAACTGGCACTTGGAGATCTGGGCACATGGGTCTGAGCTCCAGCGCTGGGCTCTGACATCTCATCCTCCTCCTTGGTCTCATCTGTCCCACAGCCTGAGGCAGAGCTGCTACAACACCCTGGCCGTAACCCTTGTCTATCCCCTGCGGGACACGGGAAGTTCCTCGATTTGTGTGCAGAACCGGGTCGGTTCTGCGGCCCCCGATGGCATTAACAGAACACCCGGGTGACTTTTTGGAGCAGCCGTGCACACACCGCAGCGCTCCGTGAAGAAGCATTTGGGCAATGGTGTTAATCAGCGACAAAGGGCTTTGCCGGCCTTTCAGGATCAGGGAATCTGGCAGGACAGGAGGCGAATTCCCGCCCGCCCCATCCCGGGGCGGCAGGAAGGCTGCAGGCGTGGGAGCGCCGGGACCCTGGGGCCGGGTTAATCCCGAGGGATCTGCTGTGGGGACACTCGGCTGCCTTCTCCCCGCATCCCCCTGCCGTGTCAAGGTGCTGTCACCCCGTGGAACATCCCCCCTGGGCCCACGGACACCCGCGGCGGGATGCGGGGGCGTTCCCGTGCCGACACGGCGCCTTCCCTCCCAAAAACACCGGGATCACACCCCCAGGCCTCAGTTGCTGCGCAGCAGCAGCCCACGGGGGATCCCACCCGGGCACACCCCGGGCTTTTCGCCCTGAATTTAGGACAGACATTGCCGGGCGTGATGCTCTGCCCGGCCTGAAGAGGGAGGGCGGCCCCTCTGCGGGACGCGGGGACCCC